AAAGCTTTGCCATTAGTTTTTATGTGATGAGTGGCCTCATTATTAACAGGAAGGCTAAAGGCGAGGCCTAGCTGAATTTCAAATAGAAAACTGAGATTTGCTACCTGGATCTATTTACAATGATGACAAGCCATTTTCAGGGCCCATTCACACACTATCAAGTGCATACCAGCACAGCTCAGTGCCCTGAACGCACTGGATCGCATAAACCAAGGCCCCCACATTCAGGGGGGTGGGGGGCATGGTGGTGCCATTAATGTCAATGGCACCGCATATTTGTCTCCCGCCCACAGTGCGATCGCTCTGCATTCCGGTACGGTACGAGTGCATGCATGCACTGGAACGCAGTGCTCTGGTGCGAATGACGGCACTTGCGGGCAGGGGGAGTGCCTGAGGTGCTATTGATACGAATGGAACCACCGCGCCCCCCTCCCGCCTCAGAATGCAGGAGGCTTGGTTTATACCAGGGGTGAGGAGCCTCTGGCCCTCCAGCTGTGGTGGAACTACAAATCCCATGAGGCATTGCAAGATTATCACAGCCACGGGCATGATTCCCAGAGACAGATGCATCATGGGATTTGTAGTCTCACCACAGCTGGAGGGCCGGAGGTACCCCACCCCTGGTTTATACAATTCAGTGCTTTCAGGGCACAGAACTGTGCGGGAACGTACTGGATAGCTCGTGAACAAGCGCTAACTCAAAGTAACCTCAGCTTATTTACTTTGGTCATCATATACACAACCCGAATAACCCAGGTTTGTAACAAATTGATATTAAATATTTATTCCTTCATAACTAAAAGGGAACAAACCGGGGTTTGATGTTTCCTGACACTGTCACTAGTTGTCTAATACTTAAACTTATGAACACAACAAATGAGTGTTTAAGGGGCTGTTCATACCAGATGCATTGGGCTGCATAGGACTGCAGGGGGTAAGGCTGTCCAAGCACACAGACAAGGCAATTTGTCTTGTGTCCCATTAAGTCAGCTAAAGTACAACATGCAGTACTTGGTTTTTATTGCAACGCACTGCAGTAAACGGAACTGACACTGTCACTTTGTGGCATTTCAATAAAGTTCGAGAAAAGAAAAAGTTCAACAGTGCAATGCCCCATGCACCGCTTCCTATAGAGCGCACACCAGAGGCCGTGAGGTAGTGTGTACTGCTGATGTGAATGGGTCCTAATTACAGAAAATACTAAATCAAGGACACTGGTGTCCAAAGGAACTTACAATCTAATATCCCTCAGTTATATAAAACACACACACAAACACCAACCTACCAAAATGTGTCTGGATTGTGAATGGAACCCCAACCCCATGGGGGCAAACAAGCGAGGCAAGCAAGGAGAGAACATACAAACTCCATGCATAACATTATTGCTAGGAGTTAAATACAAGACCCCTGTGCTGCATAGCCACCTTACTGCAGATGTGCAGTAAGGTGACACTGTAACCCACTGCTACATTCTAGTATATGCACGGGATCTGGGTAGGATTCCAACCAGCATGGAGGTTGTACTATCACCTTGCCTCCAAGTTTCATGCTGCAATGTGAAAGCGTACAGGTAGGTGAATGGGCTTGTGTCCATGAATGTGGTAAGGATACACAGCAGTGTTTCTCAACCAGGATGCTGTGACAAAATGGAACAAGAATGCCCAAAGTGTCAATTAGGAAGAATGTGGATCAAGCACAGAGTCCTGTCTCCCTTCCCCTGCAGAATAAAAATCTTAAGCTGGGGCTCGCCAACAGCGTCTTTAGTGACCAATGACATCATCGGTTACTAGGAATCAAGCGGGGTGGCAGCTCGCTCCCTAGCAACCAATGATATTGTTGAATGCCATTGGGTGGCCTGAACAGCATTCTTTGCTGCCTCCCCCCTGGTCCTGCAGCACAAGCTCCTACCCTGTGAAAGCCACCCAACAGCTTTGTGGCAACCGATGAAGTCATTGGTCGCTAAAGACACTGTTGGGAGCCACAGTTTAAGATTTTGATACTGCACGTGGACAGGGGAGGGGAGAAAGGATGCTCTGTTCCATCCACATTCTTTTAAATCGACACTTTGGGCACTGAGAATTTTGGGCCCCACATTGTGTAAGTTCTTCCCTTCACACCAGTGCGGAGCATTAAAAGAGAATTAAAAAACACCCATCCCCATAATTCAAGTCGACCTGTGACATTAAAGCTGTCACAGGTTGGCTCTATTGATGGGGAAGTCAGCAAACACATACAACCAATCACTGACTTCCCAATCATCTGCAGAGAGTGGTCACCGTCAGTCACAGCTCCCTGCAGGGATTCCCCCCTCCGCTCTCCGATCCTCCAGCGCTGACTGGATGAAGAGACGGGGGAGGGGTCGGGCACAGCTGGCTCTGCTTTTAGGCTGGGTTCTCACCTAGGCGTATTGAATATGCGCGTTTGTTGAGCAATTTGCAGTAAAAAAACAGCGAATCGCGCGTTTCCCAGGGCTACCTGGCTGTATCCCTATGGATACGCGTGACAAAAACGCCCCAAAGAAGCTCCTGTTCTTCTTTGGGCGTAGGGCATTTTGTAGCGCGTTCATACGGCCTGTAATACGCCCAGTTGTGAACCATACCCATAGGAAATAATGGGATTTCGGTGTTTGAGCGTTTTGCAGAGCGTAGGAACGCGCTACAAAACGCCCAGGTGTGAACCGGGACTTAGAGAGGTAGAGCCAGCTGTCAGTCGGCCAGCGGAGTGTATCTTGATAGTATAGTCAGGATCCGTCCCGGCTGTGGCGTGGCTCTGTGCTGTCAGCATATAGCTGTCAATAGCCCGCTTTATACTTAGTTTTGGGTCATCGGAGGACGTTAGTATATGAAGAGAACTATTACCAACAAAGGTTTAACCACAGTTCTCCTTTAATCGCACAGAATGCACCCACCATGCGTTACAGTGCAGGAGATGTGTTGCCATTCATTTGAAGGGGCACCCCAAACACACTTCTGACCGCAATCAAGCTTCTTTGCCATGTTTATCGCAAGTGCAGCAGGTCAGTGAAATGAATAGGCTGATGCGCAGCAAAGCATGGTAAAGCAATGCGAAAGTGTGCACTGGGGTTCCTTAAGATTTTAGACAATTTAAAAGTGAGCTGTGACTGAAAGAAGATTGAGAAACACTGTTATCCAGTCATCTGTGATGTGCGCAGCCCCCAGGTCTCATCACTGGCACTATCAACAAGTTTTCTGCAGCTCAGCTGACCACACCGAGTTTAGCAGCGTCACCGTGCGTCAGTAAATGGCAATAAGGGCTCGTTCACAGCGGGCATATGGAAAAGAATTCATCTCTATGTGGCTCGTTCACAGCGTCCACATGCCTTTTTGTGTTGTATGAAAATGCAGCATGTCTACATTTTTATGCAATGCATGTTAACACACTGCGGTGCATTACATTTACTGGGGTTTTGTGTCATTTTAAACAAAGTTTTAAAAATAGAAGTAAAGAATGCAATGAGTTGTAAAAAAGCACTGCACTGCCCCTAATAGTGCACACCATCACATGTGGAATAATGTGCTGGTGTGCGTTACGGGTCACATAACCTGCGTGGGCTGGTGTGCGTTACGGGTCACATAACCTGCGTGGGCTGGTGTGCGCTACGGGTCACATAACCTGCGTGGGCTGGTGTGTGCTACGGTTCACATAACCTGCGTGGGCTGGTGTGCGCTACGGGTCACATAACCTGCGTGGGCTGGTGTGTGCTACGGTTCACATAACCTGCGTGGGCTGGTGTGCGCTACGGGTCACATAACCTGCGTGGGCTGGTGTGCATTACAAGTCACATAGCATGCGTGGGCTGGTGTGCATTATGGGTCATATACCATGCATGGGCTGGCGTGCATTACAAGTCACATAACATGCATGGGCTGGCGTGCATTACGGGTCATATACCATGCATTAGCTGGCGTGCATTACAAGTCACATAACATGCGTGGGCTGGCGTGCATTACAAGTCAGATAACATGCTTGGGCTGGTGTGCATTACAAGTCACATAACATGCGTGGGCTGGTGTGCATTATGGGTCATATACCATGCATGGGCTGGCGTGCATTACAAGTCACATAACATGCATTGGCTGGCATGCATTATGGGTCATATACCATGCATGGGCTGGTGTGGAAGGGCCCTAACACTATAACTCCTTTTTCCAGGAACTAGGAACACTCACTGTTGCACATTTCTAATTCTCTGCTGCAAGGTTAATGTTCTCACAGCAAGGTGCATTCCTCACGTGGACTTCAAAGAGGTGTATTGTGGTTGTGAATGCGTTTAGGTAGCATGGCGGAATAAAAATAATCATATCGTTAGTATACATTATAGATCCTCTGGAAAACATTACCAGATGTAAATACAATGGCACAGACAGACAGGCGTCACGTCGACATATAATACATCTAAAGTTCTAATCTGTGCATCACATACATCCTACAGCTGGCCATACACTATACAACTTGCACTACGCAGCTAGATGAAGAGTTGATTGCACAGATTGTATAGTGTATGGTCACCTGACTACTATACAGTGCAGTGAGCTGATGCATAGCCAGCAATGAATCATATATAGCGCCCACACACGCCAATGGGAAGCTGTACTCCTCCCTGCTCTTTAAATGTCTGTAACACTAACACTGCTTCTATAGCTTAGATCTACAGCAACCAAGCACTGATCTCTAGAGCCTGAAGAACTACAACTCCCAGCAAGCCGCCATGCTGAGCCTTGCAGTTCTCCAGCAGCAGTGAAGCTCCTGATAGCCGATCCGTGCTATGTATGAGATCCCAGGCACACAGTACACCGTGCTGAGCAGATCGGAGCCCGGGCTGAGTCCAGCTGCTGCCCATGTCTGCACACTTCCTGGAAAGAAAACTCCGCTCACCCTACACAAGTTTCTCTCTTCCTAGATAATAGATGATTCCTCTCCCCTGCCGGCACAACTACACAAACACCCCACACACATATCAACACATACTGTGCTCTCACCTGACTGCGATATGTCCCCAGCTCCGCTGCCAGGAAGCCGCCAGCACCCACCGGGCAACTCACACTCTTTACTTCCAGCTACTCTGGCAGCATCATTGCGCATGCGCAGACACTCCCTGGAGCCGAGCCCGCCGCGGGGGAGTCTGGGAGATGTAGTGTGTGCGAGTCACTTGGCAGGAATGTGTGTGGCTGATGTAGTCATTGACCTAAAAGGTGTGCTATGTGTATGCATCATAATTGAGATAAAGACAGGTTTTATGACTAAAGAGGCCGGGCTAATCTGATGTTATCCATACGGTGTTTAGAAAGAATGTGGCTCTGGGAGCAGAATAAGTTCTGATCCCCATGAAGACATATTCCACGTTTTGCAAAAAAAATTGAAGAAGATAAGATGATAAATCCCCTGCCCAGTGTATAGCTGAGCTAATGCCATTTAGTATGTAGGAATATATTCTATGCTCAGCAGCTCCATCTAGTGGTGGTAGTCTTGTGTGATTCACTCACCATGCGATACACCGAGATTTACAAATTAGTGCTTAAAATGACATTAAAGTCTATAAAAAAAATCCCCCCCCAGCCCCCATGTAAATGTTAGCACTTACCTTAAATGATGTCTCTTATTCCGATCTTCTTTCCTGATGTTTTCATCTGTCCCTCCAGCGGTGCGGTGGCTCTCCGATCCAGCGCTGACTCCTCTGTCCCTGCAGGCACTTCCGATCCAGCGGTGTCTGCATGCGGGTGCACACGTTCATAGACTTACCTTGCGTCTCTGCTCGTCTCCCTGCCTAAAATCCGAACTGCGCATGCGCCCGCCCCTAGATGCTTTGCGGCCGCTCGATCAGTTTTCAGATTCTCGGGCAGGAGCACGCATCGATAACACGGTAAGTGTAAACCGCTGTTAAAGCGTTTTTTTTTTTTTACTTTTTGCCTATATCTACTGCTTGCTAGCGGTAGATATAAGCAAAAAAAAACGGAGGATTTAGAACCCCTTCAAGGGCCGGTTCACACCACAAAGTGCCTGCGTTCCGGTCCAGTGGGACCTGCAAAAATAGTGCTTGCAGTATTTTGCACACTGGACCGAAACGCAGGCACCAATGTGCCTGCATTCTGGGTACGGGGGAACGCACTGCGGGCAGGGGGCGTGGCTGCAGTGCCTTTGACTTCAATGCACTGCCACGCCCCCTCCCACCCCTGAACGCAGCATTCCAGAGGCCAAACGCACTGTAACGTGGAGTTTGTCGTGTGAACCAGCCCTGAAAGAGAACTATGGGGTAACTATGTTGCAAACTAGCTATTGCACCCGCCCACTGCTGCTGTCAATCAGTTCTCCATCAGGTCCCCTCTAGACCTGCCGTTCTCCATCAGGTCCCCTCTTGTGATTGACAGCAGCAGAGGGCGGGTGCGATAGCTAGTTTGCTATTGGCTATTGCAAATTGAAATAGCCAATAGGAATCTAGCAATGCATTCCTACGGCGAAAATATTTTTTTTTTACGGCAGCAGAACCGCCGGCCAATAGAAAACAGTTGGGCGGAGCTAGCTGTCACTGCTAGCTCCGCACAATCATTTTCTATTTTATGGTTCTGCCTCATCTGGAGTATGCGGTCCAGTTTTGGTCACCAATCCACAGAAAGGATGTCCTTGAGCTGGAGAGAGTCCATAGAAGAGCAACTAAACTAATTAGGGGGCTGGAGGACCTAAGCTATGAGACAAGGTTATTAAACTTAAACTTGTTCACGCTGGAAGTGAAACGATTACGAGGGGTCATGATTTTGATGTACAAAATGTTTAGTGGTGATAGCAACATCAGCAATAAACCTTTTACAGTAAACTCCCTAACAAAGACTAGAACCCACCACCTAAAACTAGTGGAGAAAAGATTTAACCTAAAACTAGTGGAGAAAAAGGGTCGTAGGGGCTTTTTTTCAGTGAGATCGGTTAAATTCTGGAACTCGCTGCCACAAGTAGTAGTATCAGCTCAGAGTATTGAATCATTCAAAAAGCATTTGGATACCTTCCTCAGGGACCATAACATGCAGGGGTACAGGTCAGGGGCGTCCCGAGGCCAGGTGTCACCCGGTCTCCAGACCGGGTGACGCCCCACTGTGTTGTCACCGCGCGTGTGCGTGACATCACCACGCGCATGCGCGATGATGTCATCACGCATGCGCGACCATCTGTTTGATGCCTGCCGGTGGCCATCTTGGTGATGGACGCTGGCAGAGAGAGGAGGGGATGTTCATCTGGCAGAATGAGGTATGCCGCCGGGTTCCCTCCTCGCTCCTGACACTGTCGGGCTCTCGGTCCATGACCGAGTGCCTGACTTTTTAGAGAGGGTGGCACCAAAATGACTGTCAGTCATTTTGGTGTCACCCCTGCAATGGTGACACCCGGGTGCGGGCCTCACCCCCCTTGTGACGCCACTGGTACAGGTACACTTAAAAACAAGGACGCAAAAGGGACTCGTGTACACATATACAAATGCAGAATCACATGCATACATGCAATAGGTTGGACTTGATGGAGCTGTGTCTTTATTCAACCTCAGATACTATGTATGTAATTATGTAACTATCCTTTTCTCCAATTTTCAGACTAAAACTGAAAATAATATACGGGAAGTGCTCTATGCAGCTATAAGGGGTGATATGTCCGATGCAAATGAAAACATAGTTTTGCTGGTAAGAACACAGTGTATATTACCGTTGTAATGTATACATAACGTCAATGTATTTACTTAAAGCATGATGCTTTAATTAGCAGGCAAAGCAAGCACTTTGGAAAATGTTTCTTTTCCCCGTTATTCATTCTTTCCATTTCCCTTTTCCCTAAAGCTGATCCTGCTATGTACAGTGGAAACATTTTTGTCTATATTTTCACTTGCGGATACACAGTTGCCGCCAGAATGAGAGGACAATTTATGGGAGAGTTTTATGAGTAGGTTGCCCGGTGAACTCATGTCATTACCGCTATTCATACCAGCAGGGATGGTGCCATGCCCAAGCCATAGAACAACGGGCCCATATTTATAACACAGATGATAAATCTGTACTAATGCCAGGCAATGTACTATGTGCTATACCACAAAGAAGGTTCCGGCACATGTTATTAGCCTGAATAAGGCAGGTAAGACAAGAATAAAGATTATACCATTTTAAAATTAGGAGATTCAAATCACTAACAAGGCTATTCACAAAAGGGTGAAGAGTTTGGAGAAGGCAGGAGAAGTGAACAATCTAGGACAACATAGCTGAAGTGGAGAGTGAGCTGAATTGGAGAATTCTTCCAAATCAGCTATTTTGCCCAAAATTGTTCACTTCTCCTGCCAGCTATGTTGTCTTAGATTGTTCACTTCTCCTGCCTTCTCCAAACTCTTCACCCTTTTGTGAATAACCCAGTAAATGTGGCACACCCATTATTTCATAATGCAAACTTGAAAATATAGCTCAGCAAGAACAGAGCAGACTAAGTTTCGAATGCATCATGGGAGCTCATTTCTTCCCTGGTCCACAGCTACTCAGCTATGGTATGCAAGCTGTAGAGACTAATGAACTCATCCTCCCGTCCAGTAAAGTTGTTCTTAAAACTCAGCTCCAAGTGCAGAGTTAAAGCAGAACGCCGGGGAAATGTTTTAACCCTTGCAGTGGGGCCACCCTCGCACTACAAGGGTTAAATGCTTGTGCTGGTCTGGGGTTAAAAACAACAAAGTTATACCCACCCAATCCTCGAAGCCGGCCAGCTGTGACAGCACCCCCTGTCGCCTCCTCCACTGCAGTGATAGTATGTCCCTCGGCATTCTCATGTCCTATACACCGTGTATAGGACGTGATGACTCAGGGACCGTAGACCCCTGGAGCGGAGGGGGAGAGGGGCTCCAGGGACCAGTCTAACAACAAGCCAGCTCAAAGGATCAGGCAAGTATAACTTGTTATTTTCCTCCCTAGACACAAACAAGCAATTAACACTTGCAGTGTGGGGGTGGCCTCACTGCAAGGGTTAATAAACATGTCTTCAGAGTTCTTCTTTAAATGCACAGATGAAGTAGGGACCTATTTTAGCTGCCCAAGGAATTTTGGATGTCTGTCCTTCCAGTCCTGAGATTTGCACAGCCCTGCCACACAACACAGAGAGGAAGATGGCACCATGTTCAGTTTAGAAATACAGTGTTGTTCTCTCTCTCTCTACCCCCAGCCTGCTGGTAAAATAGTGAAAGCGCAGCAGCAGATTGGCGGGTTTATGCATTATACTGATTGGTCTTCTTGCTCAGGTTGTCTTTCAGACAGTGCTAACTGTGTCATTTCATGGGGCCTTTGACACATTCTGTAGGTGTTTCATTCATAATTACACTTTTGATTGTTACCTTCTCGGTTTCTGAATTCAGAATTTTGTACCTCTTTTGAGACTCATTGTAGCTAACACATATACAATCCTTAACACAAGCTTCCCATTTTGTATGCTTTTCTTTAGGAGCATGTACATATGCTTTGCTTTTAAAGACTTTCATGTGTTAGGCTTCTTTCAGTTCCATAGGTCACATGGAGTTTTCTCTGTTACTTTTCCAGGTAAGCCGTTTTGGAGATTGCAGGTTGTCATAATTGCCTCGTCACACTATGTCAGGGGTAGCCAAACTCCGGCCCTCCAGCTGTGGTGAAACTACAGATTCCATGATGCATCTCTCTCTGGGAGTCATGTCTGTGGCTTTGAGAATCTTGCAATGCCTCATGGGATTTGTAGTTCCTTCACAGCTGGAGGGCCGGAGTTTGGCTACCCCTGCACTATGTTGTTGGCATATCTGCATCAAAAAGCACACTCCATTCACAGAATGTGCACTTCATTCTCTCTGCAACACCATTTTGTTCTGGATTGTATGGTATAGCAGTCTGGATTTTGTCTATACAGTATTTATTATTATTATTATTATTATACAGGATTTATATAGTGCCAACAGTTTGCGCAGCGCTTTACAATATAAGGAAGACATTACAATCACAATACAATTCAAGACAAGATGGTAAGGAGGGCCCTGCCCATGAGGGCTTACAATCTAAATGTAATACTTCGATTCATGAATGCTTCTGTTCACGAACACTTCGGTTC